GTGTATAGGGACTGGACGTCCATGGTAAAGATGAGGTGTTGGGGACCAGAGAATTGGAAGTTTTGGAGGAGGTGGAGGGCATGGGTGGTGTCACGGACGTAGGTAGGGAGTTCCTGGACCAAGGAGGAGAAAATGCAGTTGAGATAGATGGAGATAAGTTTGGTAGGGCAGGAGCAGGCGGAGATAATGGACTGACCAGGGCAGTCAGGTTTGTGGATTTTGGGAAAGAGATAGAAACTGGCAGTGCAGGGTTGGGAAATGATGAGGTTAGAGGCTGTGGGTGGGAGGTCACCTGAGGTGATGAGGTTGTGGATAGTTTGGGAGATGATGGTTTGGTGCTCAGGGGTGGGATCATGATCAATGGGGCGGTAGGAGGTGGTGTCAGAGAGCTGGCGTCTGGCCTCGGCGATGTAGAGGTCAGTGTGCCATACTATAACTGCGCCTCCATTGTCCGCGGGTTTTATGGTGAGCTTGGGATTGGAGCGGAGGGCTGCACGTTCTGTGGGGGAGAGGTTGGAGTGGGTGAGAGGGGTGGAGAGTTTGAGGCGATCAATGTCTCAATGGCAGTTAGAGATGAAGAGGTCGAGGGAGGGTAGGAGGCCTTGGGGTGGTGTCCAGGAAGAGGGGGTGTGTTGAAGGCAGGAGAAGGGATCAGTAAAGGGAGGGTTAGGCTCATGGTTAAAGAAGTAAACGCGGAGGCGGCAGAAAAACTGTTCAATGTCCAAACGTGAGTTGTATTCGTCGATGTTTGGGTGGAGAGGGACAAAGGGGAGTCCTTTACTGAGGACTGACCGTTCGTCCTCAGTAAGGGGGAGGTCTGGGGGGGGATGGTGAAGACCCGGCAGGGCTGGGTGCTACTGTCTCCTCTGGAGCTGCTGGCTGTGGAGGTGGTGGGTGGAGCGACATCGGTGGTGGATGGAGCGATGGTGGTGGGTGGAGCAATGTCAGCGGTGGGCAAAGCGACAATTAGAAATGGAATGTGTCTTTGGGTTGGCATTGAGAAGATGGGCCAAGTGGCCCCGTTCTGTGCTGTATCATTTCTATGGTTCTTGGAGGAGAAATCTCTTCAATCAAAGGGCAGTGAACCTTTGGGATTCTCTACTACAGAAAGGCGTGAAGGCAAAGTTACTGAATATATTTAAGGAATAGACTAATGAAGCTAAAGGTGTCAAGGCGGCACGGTGACAGAGCAGGAGCATGGCATCTAGACAGATGACATAATTAGGCTGAATAGCCTATTCCTGTTCATATTTTCTCTGCTTCGAAAACTGCCAGGCATTGTTTAAATACTAAACCAGACAATTTGACCTTGTTTTGGCCAAGGCATTGCCCTGAGAAATGAACCATCAAATGTCTATCACCTGTTTTGTTTGAGTTGAAATATTGCAGTACATGTAAATGTTGCAACTATAACGAACAGGGACTAGTTTATAAATATGTGTAGCTTCCAGGGCACACACGTACGCTACACTGCGAGCCTGACTAACCATCAAAACTGGTTGTCAGTGTAATATTTTGTACACTCCGATTTATCCAGCAAATGTTGTCAAATTGCAGCATCACATGTAATAATGGTCACTATATGGCAAATTTTGCAAGCATGTGCTGGTTAGGTATGGTCAGTACATTGCTTGTTGCAATCAGCCAAAGGGCTATGCTGTTTGGTAGGATCCATCGGTCTTGGACTGTACAACCTAGATAGCTGGCACGAAACTAGCACTAAAACATGTCCAATTTACAGGACATCATTTTGGCTTGACAGCAGTATCGTCTTAATGGCAAACACCACTGATGTTGCTACTGCATTCATGCAGCGTTAAACAGCTAGTTTCACCTGTTAGTCAAACTTTGAGATATGTTACCTATCCAGGGCAATCTGAAATAGACTGGCCACCATGTATGCCCAAAATAGATGACATTGTCATGGAGCTCCATGTAGCTCCAACTCTTGAAACATCTTTCTTGGATTACATAAAAAATACTTCTTCAACAGAAGAACACCTACAATGCATATTTTTCAATACGTAGATGATAATTTTGCTATACTTGAATGCACAGCTACACATAAGAATTTCCTTGCATGTCTAATGGGTTCCATCCTGTGCTCAAATTTAAGTCTGAAATGGAATAGTCAACTAGTTAGCCTTTCATGGCAAAATCTACCATCACTGGTCATTTTACACACTTCAATCCCAGGTACTATACGATTAAACTCTTGGGAACTTTGTAAATGGGCCCACGCCATTTGTTCACCATGCAGTGGCAACAACTTGCTCCCATCAAGCTAATAGGATATATTCCTGATGGTAGAAATGAGTCATGTGGCATATGAATGTCGGTACCAGTATGTTGCCAGGTATGTAGGCTGTACACGCCAAAGCCTGGCAGACTGTATCAAATTGTACATCCCTTCGGTTGTTCACAAGTAAGGTACTGACCATATCCAACAGCCCACACTTGGAAAATTTGCACCAGTGTCTAATGTTGGATGTGAATTTGCAATTGGATAATATTTGCTGTATAAACTTAAATGCTTGAAGAATTATGCTGACAGCCAATTTAGGATTGTCAGTTAGGCTCACAATGTAATGCATGTGTGTAGTAGAAGCTACATAATTCAATAGTAGGGGACTGTTCTTTGCCAGAAAAAACATATACATGCACTGCACCTGTTTCAACTCAACAAAACAGCTGACAGTAAATCAATGATTAATTTGGCAGGGCAATGCGTTCACTAAGTCAAGCTGCTTGGCTTAAAATTTAAACAAATCCTGGCAGTTAACTCAATCAGTCATCATGAACTGGTGCACTTTCCATAGCAGCACCTTTGCCAATCATATGGTCAACCTCAGCATTCTCTTCTCATAACAGAATAGATATTAATTTTCCCTTTAAATTGGTGTCCTCACAAATTGTTTGGGTGAGTGCAAGAAAAAAGGCTTTGAAGAAGTGTCTTTTTTCAACAACGGTCAAGTTCTGTATGACTAAATGACTAATTTTATCAATCTGAGTTAGTCCACAGGAGGGCACTGTAGCTTTTTAAAAATGATGCGACAAATAAATTTTAAAAATAAAATATTGCATTCATTATTCTCTCCCAAAACACTGAGTTGCTGTGTTTCTAATGTTTAAGTTCATTAATGACTTTTTATCCACACTGTTACATTCTGGACTGTATATTTAACATGCTTCTTTTACTTTCACTGCATGTGCTACATTGTCCGTTAAGCTCATTTTTTTAATAGCTGAAATTGCACTTTGAACATTGTAGAATCCAAATCGAAAATACGAAAACTGCAAACATATCTACTTTGCATTTTGCTGTTATTTCTGACAAACACTACTTCACTTTTAGTGCTCTAAGGGTTTCCAAAATAATTGCCTAAACTAAAATATTTTCCTTATCTGTGAACACGTTGAATATTGCTAAGACTCAAGTACTGAATTGGTCACAATTTATCAGGATCACATCACAAGGATGAAGCAAACAAAAACATTGACATGAGCTGCATAATTTCTGCAGAAGGTATCAAGCTATTCTCTCAATTTTCTTTGTGTCAGGGACCAAATACAGATTCAGGCTGCTTTCACATAATAGCTTCAGTACCAAAATGAAACAAAATCACTATGTTGTAAATGCCCTTTGAGAGTTCCTTGAAGTAACATCCATGTGGAAGCATGAGACCCCATATTTAGTGGAGCACGACTTCCAGTTAAGGAATTCTGGTACACTGGTATTGTTACTCTTAAAAACTACTCACGTTCTTTTTTATTTGAACATGTTCCCTTCTCGAAGGTAGCATGACTGACAGCCTGGTGGTTACAGGTTTGGTTGGGGAATTGCTGGGAGAACTCCTCCTGCCTCAGGCTCACAAGAAATGGCATAAAAGCACCCACTTTTCTGACATAGCAGCATTTAGCTCTCTTTATTTACCAGACTTCCCAAGGCAACATTTGTGGTTGTAATATTGCAAATATTAAAGCTGGAAGAGGCATTGCACATATCCTCAAAATGTTTAAATATACCTTCTGGTACATTGCCCAGAGCCCTGTACTGGCCTCATTAAACCAACAAGTGGATAGCTTGAAAGATGGTTTCAGTTTGTGTTTGAGATTTTGTACATTTAAGATCCCATTTGAGCCAAAATCACTCAATGGTTTCTGGGAGTTCAAATTCCCCCAAAAATTCTGAAGCTTGGTAAGGACTGAATGACAACTTCTTTCACACAAGATTTTCACTTTTGCAATTCCTGTTTTCACTTCTTTACTACAAACTAGTTGCTAAGAAATGGCAGAATTAGTCAATAACAATAATTTCCCAGTTGTCCCTTTTCCAAATTCCTCATCAACAAGTGGACCCCTCTCTCAAATGGGTACTGTCCAATTCTCGACTTCTGCTTTTCACAATTTCTTACATTTCTCTCTCTACTTGCCCCACCCTAACAGCGCAGCTCTGTCTGCTCTTCCACATGAATAACTGAGAGCGGGTATCTCTCTCACTGACCTCTCTCCACATGCCCTCAATAACATTTGTTCCCTTTTTCTCACTATGCACCATCTTATACTAGTATTGAAATAAAATTATTTATCAGAGATGGACTTATTGGACATATTGGACATGTACTTCTGAAATATGTGGATTTAAGGCTTGTCTAGATAAAATATAAATAAACACATGCAATTTGTGATAACAGCAATATTTGTGCTTTCTAGTGCAATCAGTGACAGACCATCATGGGGCTGTTTCTTTAAGAAATAATTTAGCACAATGGTTTAGCAAAAAAGTTTAGTACAACATGTTGCGGCAAGTTAGAAAGTAACCGATTAGAGAAAAAAAAGGTGCTCAATGCAAAAGAAAACAGTGAGTTGTTTCACCCTCATGTTGCAGATGATGATTAGAACAAAGAGAAAAATTGAGCTGAAAGATTAAATGGGATTAATGGCATACCCAATGACTTTGAGCAGTTAATGAACCCTTTCAATAACTTCCAAGACAAAAGTAAAATGTAGAGTTTATATTATGCAGTGTTTACATACCAACAAATTAATGCAATCATACATAAGTAGTTAGGCTTGACAATAAAAATACATTTTCTTTTGCAGTACACAAAATCAACATTAAACAGCATAAAAGGCCACAAAAATACAAATATACAAATCTAAAACTTTAATTTTTTTTTAGAAAAAATGGTTACAAAAACACACCAAGATATAGATTAATGCTTTCAAGGACTCTGATAGGAATGCAGTAATTCTAACACTTAGAAGATGACCAATACCCATTGAACTAAAAGCAATAAAAGCAATCCTGAGTCTTTTGTTGGCCCATGCAAAACTTTTACGATGACCACTTCTACAGATAAAGCTCTGTAGTTTATAAAGATAATCACTGTTATGTCAGCAAATTTAGTAAAAACGTACTTCACCAGCATGATAAATATTTTGAATTTAAGTATTGATTTTAGGATAAGCCAACACAAAAGAATCATTTTCAAGCTTTGGAACAGATCAAAACGTTCAAATTTTTATAGTGACATTTGCAATCCATAAAATGATTACCAAATGTCACACCTATCTAAAATTAATAGGATCCTGCATTTGTACCATTTTCCCCATGTAGCAACTGTAGGTTAATGTACATTAAACCAATTCCTATAATATTCAAAAACACAATGAAAAGAAGGAATGTCTTGGTATACATGTGCTGCATCAACGAGCATTTGAAATTTCGGTACCAATTTTGACGGGTATTGATCAAATCCTACAACTAATGAGAGAGAGTTTAAATTCATCAAATGTAGACAACAATCTGAAATGGCATGATGGTCAATTCTGTAGCCTGAATCCATGTCTGCCACAGGTTATGCTGAGGAACCTAATTTACTGAATGCAAAACCAAATAAATCAGTGGATGCTGGAAATCTGAAATAAGAACAGAAAATGCTGTAAATACTCAGAAGGTCAGACAGAACCTCTGGAGATACAAAGAGAGTTAACATTTTGACCAAAGGTTAACAAGACGAAGAAGCTGCTGCCTGACTTGCTGAGAATTTCTAGTACTTTGTTTTTATTTCAATTATCAAAAACTTTGGTGTAATTGCAAGGGCTTTATTTGAAAATAATAGTCCAAGAATAGTGTGAACATAATTACGAACTCCACAGTGTTAAAAATAATAATTACTGCAAATCTCATAAAATAAAATTAAAAAATGTGCAAATCTTAAAAGCTGCAAATGGGATTCAGTATTTAAAGAGTTAACAGCCATCAGGTAGAGGGAATCTCAGCAGCCTCCTTGTCCTGGGCTGTGGGTGAATTTGTTTTCCAGAAATAAATGCCAATTACGAAGGCTACTGATCAACTTCAAAAAACCCAGCTTTTGAAACAAACAGGAAATACTTCTTTCTTTCTTTCTTTCTCCCCCATTCCAGGATCTGATATATCATTTAACAATACATATTGTCTCAGCAATCACATTCCAGGAAACCAGCTATGAAAAATTGCACTATTTTAAAATGTTTAAAATAGCATTAAATCCTCTAGTGCTAACCCTATAGATTATTGAAACAGTAGCCATCTGTTGAACCATAGTCTTCTGTCTTTGATTTTGTACAGAGTATATGTTGACTAACATTAAAATATATTTTAAGCTAATATTTTAGTTCTGTAGGTTTTAAAGACAATCTTCACTTGTGTTGACCTGCACAGACTAATTAAAATGTACAAAAATTAAACCTGTCAGTATCCATTTATGAAATCTTAAACAAATAAAACAGTAATTAGTGTTACCTTTATATTCTTCACACAGGTTAAAAAAAAATTTGGCAAGGTGTATTAGCAAACAGATGTCTAGTTTTAAAAATCTTATTTTAGCACTTTGAATAAACTTTCTTGTTATACAGATATACATAATGTACATAGTTTTGAACATTTAAACTACAAAGAATTTGTTGTAAATGTCAGAAAACACTACAGACTTTTATGTGGGTAGTTTTCAAATTCAGCCAAGTTCGGCGTTTCAAAAAGGATATTGTCAACTTTAAACATGAATACTGACCATGCTGACAGACCGACACAAACAGAGGAAAGATTTCCTACTTGTGTCTAAGTTGGATTTTTTTGATCAAGTAGTCTGAAAGGAAACTTTCATGCATAAAAACTTCCTATAGCACAAATATATAATACTAACATTTGTTAAAGTAACATTAAAATATATTATGCAACCAACAAATAATGTTATTAGCAGGTAAAACTTATCATTTCTATTTCTATTGGCAATTTTGTGAATTTGAAAATGTTCTGGTAGAAAAGAACTTTCTGTCCATCTCTTCAAATGTTCTTATAAATGTAGAAGAGACATTAGGTAATCCTGCACAAAAATGTATCACACCAGGTAACACATCGCAAAACAAATTAAAGTCCATTCATATCTTGTTTAGAATGCATCTTATTGGATAGGGCCCAAAGGATTTGAAAAATCTATATGGTAGGAATCATGACGATAATGCAACTAAGTTGATATGGGATTTCGCAATCTGTGATGTAACACAAATTGATTTTAACAATCAATGTTCTAAATTACTAATGGCTGATACAGTTTCTAAAGAAAAAGTATTAAAGCTGCAGTTACTGCAGGTAAGAATTATAAGCAATGCAATTTCTAGTCCAGAGATTAGAGTATTTGTACTGTGGGATTTGGCTATAGCTCAGGTTTGTACTTTTGGACCCAATGCTATTTTACACAAGTAAAGGTCTTTTAACCTTTGTAGACCCAGAACAGCCTGCTAAAAAAACCTTTGAACTTTGGTATAATTCCTGAACCTTTAAAGTTCCCTTTTATCCTCCCCATGTCAGTTCTTAGCAAGTGCAACTCCCAAATAAACTGTAAATGTGTTTTAAGGTATAAATACTGCATGATCTGGGCAGTCATTGACTTCCAGTGACAACACTAATGATAGACATTTTTCAAAAGAGATTCCAAATACCACAGTTGACAATGGGCATTCATTCCCAGGTGACTAAATTAGTTTCAATCTAGGTATTACCAGTGTACTAGTAAATGTGCCAAGCCTTGGATTTAAAGATGCTTTTTGGCACAAGAATACAGCCTTTCACCCAAGAAAATGCCTTAAGAAAAGTTTTGTTTTTAAGTTGCTAAATGCTTTGTTTCAGGTTATGCTGCAATGTAATTTAACCTTGGATAACTGGGGGAAAAGAAAATCACAGTCACATTACTGAGGATGCAACAGTTAATTTAAAAAACAAATGTCTTCTCTGGTATATTCATTAAGATGTGCAAAGTTTGATAGTTTTCACAGCTCTGTGCATGAACCTTTGCAAGTCCTGTCCGGTAGTGATTAAACACATTGTGTTTCTAATAGTACTGCTCAAATATACCCATAGTTTCACAAGATGAGTAGAAGAATCACATTTAATCAACTAACATGAAGCATGTTGTGCATAGATTTCTCAATATTACATTTTTAAAATTCTGTTTCATTAATTGCATATTACGTTATGAAAAGTTGCTTGTTTTAGTTTTGGTAATTTCAGATAACTTGATGTTACTTGATTTGCTTCTGTTTAAACTGTCAAAGTGCATTGATACAACTAATTACATGACAAAAGATGATGGGTATGCACAGCAATACCAAAAAGTATGTTGGGTAATCTAGTTAATAAACCTGATGTGGAGGTGCCAGTATTGGACTGGGGTGGACAAGGTCAGAAGTCACACAATGCCAGGTTATAGTCCAACAGATTTATCTGAAATCATAAGCTTTCAGAGTGCTGCTTCTTCATCAGGTGGAGCAGTGCTCCAAAAGCTTGTGATTTCAATAAACCTGTTGGACTATAACATGGTGTCGTGTAACTTCTGATTTAGTTAATAAACCTATATGAAATAAGCACCATAATAATTTAAGAGTGCTAGTTGATAATACAACATACACTAAATTTTAATTCTAACATTCTTCCCACATCATCTTTGTGTAATTAATGATATGGCACTAGGGTCCCTAGTCACCAAGTGAATAAAACCACACTTCAGAATAATGCACCAACTATTCTCAGAAACAGACACTGGAATCCCTCAGGCATTCTTTATCTTTGCCTAGTTTTCTCTTTATCCATCTTTTTTTTTTAAATTATACTGTTGATTATTGCAACTTTCTACTTTACTTTCATGAACACATTAACTTTTGAAGAGCAGTAGCAAATGCAATAAAATGGTCACTGCAGTATATCTCTATAAATCTGACATGTCCATTGCAAGAAGATTTGAACCACACAGTTCAACAGAATTATTTCAAAAATTGTGACAAATTTGGATTTTAAAAATGAATCGAAACTAGGACACAAGTTAAACTTTAAGAAAGCAAAAATGCATGCACAGAACTTGAGCACCACACTGTAAAGAGAGTAGCATACCAAAAGCACACTTCTGTACAGCCTAATTAATCTTTTGCTCAAGTAACTTCAATCTAACTACATATATCAATGAGGCCAACAGTGGATGCAATTCCATCAGACTTTTTTTGCCTACACATGAACCGCCACTAATACAGAAACATCAAATTGCTTTTCATTACTTTAAACAGCCAATCCATTTTCACAAGTTTAACTGAAGTTTTGTTTCCCATTTCTGTTTAAAGTAATTAATTAAATCACTGTTGCATCTCAAGCAGATTTTAAATATTAAATGGAATCTTGCAAAAATAAGAAAGTGCAAAGAAAATTAAAAGTTAATAAAGGTAAGTCTAATTTACGTGTGTGCCCTTTGGAATTGTACTAATTTGAAAGCTCTTGTTCACCACCACAGGACATCTTAAGATGATACCTCTACCGTCATAAGACTTAGATGGGGTAATTTCAAGCATCAGTAACTTGGTACAGAGTGTGCCAGTTCTCTCACTGTCACACCAGAGTACCTAAACCTTTCATAGCTAATCTGTTTAGGCTGTTTACCTAACTTAATCTTGCTAAGAAAAAAACAAAAACCTTAAAACACCGGAACTCAGTGCTATAAAGTACTTGATCCTCTTTGAAGGTTACAAAACAATGCTCTTAAAGCATAAAAAGGAAAATTGAATTACCCTTTCGATTATGTTAATTGTATCATAAACACTTACATTATTTTAAATATCTTAAAATTTTAAACCCAGGTTAAGAAAATCAATGTATCATTTGACCATGTGTTAAATCCAGCTTACATAGGTCAATTTACTCTTTAGTGAGAGTAAGGATCTGTCCATTGGACATTAATAAGAAACTGGGCTATGTTTGTTAAATGTTTTGTTCAGTCATTTAGTGTCTGGGATATGCATAGTTCACTAAGGACAATATGAAAGAGTCTTTGTGGATTTAAAACCGGCAAGTCCTGTTAGTTACAAAGTTAGTGCTATATCTGAAAGGGATAAATGTTTTGAGTTCAGTTTCTATGAAAATTGAGGCAACACAAAGAAGCCGAGATCTCCTGTGAATCAACGAACCTTTGCAAATTATTTCCGAAGAATGTGCATACTTTTCCGCCTGAATGCTACCAGGCAGCACCCTTGTGGGCTTTCTTCAATTTCTAATTTTTGTAATTTCCTCACATATCAAAATTACATTTTTTGCTTTGCAAATGAAATCCCCTGTAAAATAGTCCACCCTGAAGTTGCCCACTATCAATTTAACATTTAATTTACTTTAAAATTTCCTTTGTTGAGAATAGTTAAAACTTAGGTTGCTGATTGTAAAATGATCATTAATTTGTCATATATAATCTACTTCAAAAACAACATATAGCATTTTACTGTTGGGTCCTCAACAGTTCAACCTTTTCATTCTTCATGATAACTTTGCCAACCCTCAGACATAACCACCATTGCACAGGGACAAAATAGAGAATACCAGATTATATCTGAAGTCAGAAAATGTTTTCAATATCAGAAACACAAATATTCGTGTAAAATATGAGCCTTGTATGGTTAGTAGCACTTTCATTTAATATTTAAGAAAAATCTGTCCTGTCACACATTCCCATTAATGTTCCAATGGAAGATCCTATCTCTTCTGTGCTGCAAATGCATGATGAAAACTATCAAAGCATATTTCAATCAATGCATTACTATAACTGGCATAAGGCTGTCATAGCAGGTGTGAAACTGTCTTAATTTATACTCCCGCAGAGTTCATCCAATTATTTCCCAGCGTTTGAACGTCCCTCAATTGAAAGTTTAACTTCCTGTGGTATGAAGGAAGGCCGGGAGGAAATTTTTGCCTCCTCTGATTGAAAACCATCTCTTTGGAAATCCGGAGTGGCCCAACGATGTTGATAATTCAGTCGGCTGGGATTGCTGTCAGAGCCTGTATGCAAACATTGCATGACTGAGTCTTTTGAATGGTTCTTAACCTCAGAGTTTCTATTTATATGGATTGCGACTTCTGGAGGAGCTAAGACAATTTCAGATGTTCCCACAGTCCTTGAATCATGAACTGAAATAGTATTGACTGGAGATGAAGCTGGCTGAGTAGAGCTCCTGCCAGATGTTTGGACGCCAAGTGATACACAGACATTACCCACCGTGAGTCTTTGACATGAAAGTCCAAAGATGTGTGCAGTACGTTCTGGGTTACAAGAGGACCAACCCTGACCAAATACAAAGAAGGGATGCTCTGTGGTGACCTCTACACTCACCTACAGGGGAGAAAAATCACAATGCCTCAATCGCATTTAACACATTTACATTAATGAAATAAAAGTATAAGAGCATAAGACACAGCAGCAGAATTAGGCCATTAGGCTCATTGGGTCTGCTCCACCATTTGATCATGGCCAATATGTTTCTCAACCCCATTCTCCTGCCTTCTCCCTGTAACCCTTGAGCCCTTTACAATCAAGCACCTATCTCTGTCTTAAGTACAGTGAATGATTTGAGCCCCACAGCCTTCTGAGGCAATGAGTTTCACAGATTCACCACCCTCTAGCTAAAGAAATTCCTCCTCATTTCAGTTCTAAAGAGTCATCCCTTTGTTCTGAGGCTGTGCCCTTGGGTTCTAGTCTCTCCTACTAGTGGAAATATCTTCTCCACATCCATTGTATCCAGGTATCTCAATATTCTGTAAGTTTCAATCAGATACCCCCTCATCCTCTAAACTCCATTCAGTACAGACTCAGTATCCTCAGTGACAAGCCCATCATCCATGAGATGATTCTTGTATAGGTCCTCTGGAACCCCTCCAACACCAGTGCATCCTTCCTTAGAGATACGGGGCCCAAAACTGCTCACAATATTCCACTTGTGGTCTGACCAGAGCCATATACAGCCTCAGCAGTACATCTCTTGTATTCTAGCCCTCTCTAAATAAATGCTAATATTGCATCTGCCTTCCCAACTGCCAAGTGAACCTTCATGTTAATCTTAAGAGAATCCTGAACTAGGACTCCCAAGTCCCTTAGTGCTTCAGACTTCCGAAACTTTGCCAATTTAGAAAACAGTCTACTCCTCTCTTCTTGCAACCAAAGTGTACGACTTCACACTTTCCCACATTGTATTCCATCTGCCACTTCTTTGCCCACTCACCTAGCATGTCCAAGTCCTTCTGTAGTCTCCCAGCTTCCTTAACGCTGCCTGTACCCCACCCTATCTTGGTCTCATATACAAACTTAGCAGCACGCCCTCAGTTCCTTTGTCCAGATTATTAATGTATAACGTGAATAGTTGTAGTCCCAACACTGCTATTGTGGAACTCTACTAGTCACTTAGACCCTTTATCTTTCTGCCAGTCAGCCAATCCTCCATCCATGCTGGTACCTTGCCCCTAACACCATGGGCTCTTGTCTTATTTAGTACATTCCTGTGTGGCACCTTGTCAAAGGACTTTTGGAAATCCGAATAGATGACATCCTCCGGCTCTCCTTTGTCTAACTTGCTCCTTACCTCCTTAAAGAATTCTAACAGCTTTCTAACAGGCATGGCCTTCCCTTGGCAAAGCCTTGCTGACTCAGCCTCATTTTATCATGTACTTCCAAGTACTCTGCAATCTCATCCTTAATAATTGACTCTAATTTCCAACCACTGAGGTCAGGCTAACTAGCCTGTAATTTCCTGTCTTTTGCCACCCTCCTTTCTTAAACAGGGATGTTACGTTAGCCATTTTCTAGTCCTCTAGGACCCTCCCTGACTCCAGTGATTCCTGAAAGATCACCACCACATTCTCCACTAGCTCCTTCAGAACCCTGGGGTTAACTTTGGAAATAAATTCTTCACTGTTGCAAACAATGTTTTTTAAACTGGTTTGACTCTATTTTACAAATGTTTTTCTTCAAAAATGCCTAGGCTCCATTGCTTCACCAATTTTATGGGACAACACAAATGCTTGGTCTACCTGTGATATCACTGGCAACCATATTAATTAAAACAGGAATGGACTAATTCAGTATGTAGCTTATGATCAACAATTTTTGCTTTACTAAGATTACTCTCAACTGTAATTGCAGACTCACCTTTGTTTGAGGCTCTCCTACAGAGAAATGGACGGTGACATGGCCAGGACGCTGGCCTTCAACAATGTCAATTACTGTACTGGAATCAATCTTTAACCCAGCACTAATTTCTGCACTATGCACAAAGTCCTGCGCTTGCAGGTCTTCTACACGTTTCAACTCCCCATTTGCTAACTGGATGATTGCACCTTTCATAAAGTGTGAAGGAATATGCGCTGGTGGGGACTGTTGGACCAGGACAGGCTGAAGGATTGGTACTGTGGATTGAGATACTGGAAGTGGAACCACTGTACAAGCTGTCTGCCTCTCAGGATGACTTTGAATTGTGGATTCTGTCGTTACAGCAATATTATTAACCAATGCATCCTCCTCATGCACAGGGGTATCAACAGGCATTAATACTGGCTGCCCATTGGCTAATACTATGGTTTTATGTAAATATCCACGCTGGCCATCTAATGATTGTCTTTTGAGTCCTGTGGTAACATGTTGTTGAGCAGGCAGACATGGAGATTGTGGTAATTCTTCACTGGAGCAAAATTCTGTAATGTTTTTACCTGGAATGATTTGAGAGTGGTACTTAACTTGCTCTTGACTTTTGAATGAATTCTGTGAAGCTTTAACATTACTTAACACGTCTTTTCTAACAACCACAGGAACCTGACACCCTTGAGTGCCCAAACTCCCAACTACTTGTTGGACCTCTAGATCTGTGTCTGGTGTACTCCTCTGTGCTGGAGAGATAACTTCATTTCTTGGTTCCCGATGAGCAGAAAAGTGGGGACTGCCTCTTGGGTTTTCCATTGCTGAGGCAGAAAGCTGCGCTTCCTTTCTGCTGCCAACATAATGGGGTGCCTGAAGTTCTATAAATCTCTCATGTCGTGGTCGTCTCTCATAATTCTGATGATCTGAAGTTCCTTCACTTCGGTTTGCTGAGACATCCAACACAGTTTCTGCAGTTTCTTTGTCTTTTGCCATTTGCAAGCTATATCTATTTTCATGACACACATCTGGATTTTGCACTGCAGCAGAAAAGGTTGCATAGGATGGTGTTAATAGTGAAGGTTGAAAATGCAGTGGGACCCTACCATGGGCCACGCCTTGTGAAAGGTCTGCTGTCGTTAGATGAGGCAGTGGTCCTTGTGGAGTCAAACTGTGTACAGGAGACCCAGTGGCTTTACTGTACGTTTGTGCAGGAGATGCTGTCCGCGGAGGAGGAGTGCTAGTCTCAGCCAACAAGGGAGGATACGAAACAAGTTGGGAAAGATGAGAGGTGGGGATTCCCACAGCAGATGAAATCAATGGATTTGGCAGTATCCCATGAGAAACATATGGTACTGAATATGGAGGTCCTACAAATTGCAGTGATGTGTGGGGTAGTTGGGTGTAATGAACAGGTGTGTATGGAACCCCAGGGTGCTGAATGAGTGGAGATGCAATGCTGTATGCCGGTGAGAGATGTCCCATATTCACCAATGAATGTTGAGCACTTAGTGAATAGTTTGCAGAAGGTACAGCCAATTTGTACATCATGCCATATTGATCCACTGCGACTCCTGGTGAGCTTTCACCATTATCCGCTCTGACTCCATATCTTACTGTTGTTTGGTTCTCTTCAGTAGCACTTCTTGACCAATCAGCATCACTTACAGTGGTAATGTTGGTTGGCAATGTATTATTTTTTAAGACGTCCTCGCCTCCAGCACTATTCTGTAGTAATTCTCGCTTCTTTGGTGGCAGGCATTCTTGGTTTCGTTCATAAGCAGGTTTCATATTGTACTCTGGAATATTGTTTTTTTTCAGAAGTATCACTGAAGAATGTCAGCACAAGAATAGAGATATTCTAGAACTTTCCTCAAACCATCTGCTGACAGGACCCTAATCAGTCAGAGAAGAAACAGAAAATATAAGTGACAATAAAACTATATACAAATTGCTTTGATTCCTTAAAATATATATGTGACATTCTCCTTTTTGTAAGGATTTATCTTTATTGTTGCTCAGCAGACTCAAGGATGTCATTGTTAAATTTTTTTTTATATTCATTCACAGGATGAGGGCGTTGCTGGCTAGGCAGCATTTATTGCCCAGAAGGCAGTTAAGAGTCAACCACATTGCTGTGGGTCTGGAGTCACATGTAGGCCAGACCAGGTAAGGGTGGCAGTTTCCTTCCTTAAAGGACATTAGTGAACCAGATGGGTTTTTCCAACAATGGATTCATGGTCATCATTTGATTCTTAATTCCAGATATTTTATTGAATTCAAATTCCACCATCTGCCATGGCGGGATTCGAACCCAGGTCCCCAGAACATTATCTGGGTTGTTGGATTAACAGTCCAGTGATAATACCACTAGGCCATAGCCTCCCCATAATAGCAGAAATTACTTTAGTCTTTTTGTAAATAAAGCCATTATCAAACAAACATTCTCAAGTTGCATAAACCTCCTGGTACAGAGAATAAGAGTTCTTGAACCTCACCATTATAAGGGTACAGAGACAAAAAAAAAACAGGGGCAGCAATAGACCTCACAGTCCCAAAATCCACCTCTGACATTCAATAAGAGCTGAACTTCTACATCAACTTGGGCCTGTTTCCACACAGTAGAGATTTTATGAAATCTATGAAAATAAACTTTTTCACCCTATCCCCATATCCCTCAACTCCCCTGGTACCCAAAACTCTTGATCTCAGTCTTCAATATATTGATCAACTGATCATCCACATCTCTCTATGGAATGAAGTGAAGAAGATTCACTACTCCGAGTGAGGAAATTTTTCTTCATCTCAGCCTTAAATGGCTTACCCATTATCCTGAGATCATGGCCTAGATTTCCAGCAAGGGAAAGAAGCTCTCAGCATCTATACTATCTCATACTCAAAAACTTTAAATGTTTTAAAAAGATTAAATCTCACTCTTCTAAACATTAGAAAATACTGACCCATTCTACTCAATTTCTCCTCAAAGGACAGGCCTCTAATTCTAGTGAACTTCACTGCATGCCTTCTAATGCTTCTTCCTTATCTTTTCTTGATAAGTAGATCAAATCAGTACATAGTACTCCAGGTGTGATCTCAAAGCAAGTAACTGCAGAACTTTCTTACTCTTATAATCCAACCCTCTGATAGTAAAGACTCATGTATTATTTGCTTTTTGAATCGCTTGATATACCTTCATGTTAATTCTCCATGATTTGTTTCCAAGGCTACCAAGGTACTTATTACTACTTATATTTATTAATCACTCACCTTTTAAAAATACTTTTATGTTCCTTTCTTAGTCCCAAATTGGATAATTTCACACTGTAAAATCAGTGATCAATAGGAACTGGGGTAAGACACAGCACATGTAACTGCCAGGAAGTCAGAAATGAAAGTAGAAAATATTGGCAAGGGCCCAAGGGAGAATAAAAACAGGCAAACACAACAAAACTATACCAATGTCGTGTTCTGATAAAAGATTTATATGTGGAAATATAAACCAACCTACCTTCTCCTTGACACTGACAATCTCACTCACATCACTAGCATCACTTTCTGTTAAAAAAAATGAAAGAGATAAGCAAGGTGTTGTATTACTGAAGCCAGTTTTCAGATGAGAGGGCTGAAGAATGCCCAAAAAAAAAATTAGATGCTGTTACTCTAGCTAGCATAGAGTCCAAGCAAGCCTCTTTATTTCTGGCCTTCATTGTTCCAGGGAGGTCAGATTGGGAACAAGCAACAGAAAATCTACTCAGACTTGCAGACAGAATTTCTTTATTTATAGGTTCTTGCACTTTTTTTTTTAACCTTTTGTCCTCAATTTTTCTCAATTTTGTTTGTGTGGGAATTGTTTGTGTTTTTGCTGCCCCATGTACCTATTTGGAAATTGTTCACGTTGTACATCTTCATTGCCCAAGCACGTGTTGAACAGCTGAGTGAAAGTGCAACTTATTAACTCCCTGTCATTGCAGCATGTGTTGCTTTCTTCCTATCCTTAACCCAAGCTCATAAAATGCTCATTCGTCTATGCATTTCCAGTTCTGATGTTGCAGTTCGTTTTACACATTAACCTGTCTTTTCATTTTACAGTTGCTGACTCTTCGGTTATGTATTTACATTACCTGTTTTGGCTTTGGATCTCCAACATTAGCAACAAATTTTCTATGACCTGATATCATTTGATATTGCCAAAAATGGAACAAGTATTGGATTTACCATTCTCTCATCTTTGTAATTTAATAATCATGTCAGGCATTACATGCTACACCATAACCTCTCCAGTCCAGAAATATATTACTTGGACACATCAGTTGTTTAGAACAGACACAGGCCCTATGGTTCCTTTAGTTTCACCAGCGTCATTTTACTTTGGTACTTTGAAAGCAGAAATATGTGAAGTAAAACTCTTTTTAATTGCTTTTTAAGGTTTAATCACTGTTTTATGTCTTCAATAAATATTTGTATCTATGGTGCTTTCCAATTTACACATTGGAATCTCTAACCAACAATGCCAAAAGAAATTTCCAAAATCCAGGAAAGATTTTATCCTATGCATTCTGAACAGTAGAGATCTACTGTGTAAATCATGAGGAGATTTACACTTGTGGTACGTTTTGCAGAGGCACAGACTAAAGCGTGCAAAATAAAATTTTCATATTAAAATTCTAGGTCTCAAGCTTCTTCCAATCTGTCAGTTTATTTTCTTGCATTAATTTTAAACGACAATATGAATGAAATTTCAGGGCTTTACCTTTCCCTGGCTGACACTGCTTGAAGGAAACTGCTATAGTCAATAGAATGCTTCTGTTCTGTGGAAGAGTCAACAGACCCAAAGTGTTAACTCTGATTTTTCCTTCACAGATGCTGCCAGACCTGCTGAGCTTTTCCAGCAACTTCTGTTTTTGTTAACAGAATGCTTGTAAGCTGTTTATAAAAACAGGAAGTGCTAGAGAAACTCATTGGACCCAAAACCTTTACCTGTTTTTTTTCTCCACAGATACTGCCAGACCTGCTAAGTTTCTCCAGCACTTCCCATTTTATTTCAGATCTCCACTACTTTGCATGCTGTAATTTTCATCAGGCTGAAAAGGCAGAACTTCGACACAGCACACATGCTTAAGATGAAAGTGCCAGTAAACTTGAGAGACAGAGTATTATTTTTCATTCTCTCACTGAATGTGGTTTTGCTAATTACCCATCCCTACTGCCCTTGAGAAGGTTGTCATGGGCCACCTTGACAACTGAATGTCTTGCTTGGCCATTTCATAGGGCAGTTAAGACGTAATTGTGTGATTTGAGACTGGAGTTGCACATAGGCCAGAGCAATAAGGACAGCAGATTTCCTGTCTCTGGAGAACATTAGAGAACAAAAAGGATTCTGTGACAGTCAGTCAGGTGGGTGATCATCACTAATCATATTGGCTTTTTATTCTAGATATATCAAATTAACTAAAATTAAATTCCCGAGCGGCTGTGGTGGGATTTGAACTCATCATCTTTGGATCATTAGTCTAGGTTAAAATAGTTTAATTTTCCAGCAATATACCGATATGCATGGCTTCTCAACGAGAGATTTAGTATCACAAAAGAAATTTGAATTTTTATTAAGAAATGTAGCAAAATGTGATTAATTTTGTTTTAATATGACTTTATCCCATTTTACAGTATTTTGAATGATAGTTCTTTACCTACCGGGCATTTAGCAGGTTACTGTACAATGATAAGTAGTTATGTTATGCATTGCCTAATTGCATTTTACCAATTGGGATTAAATTAAGCCAAAAACTTCAGTCGTCATGTCCAATCTACATATACAACATCTAGACTGTTGAAAAAATTACCTGCGAGTGTTTCTGTGGACACTGAGTGCCCAAAATGGAGAAGGGTTGTGTTTCCGAGCACTGACATCTTTCACCTTTAATGAGCAGAAGAAAGATTAAATGCAAGTAATATAGATTAAATGCAAGAAATATTCTTTCTTGGGGCAACACAGTGGCACAGTGGTTAGCACTACTGCCTAAAAGCACCAGGGAACTGGGTTCCATTCCAGCTCTGGTTGACTGTCTGTGTGGAGTTTGCACATTCTCGCCGTGTCAACATGGGTTTCCTCTGGGTCCTCCAGTTTCCTCCCACAGTCCAAAGATGTGCAGGTTAGTTGGATTGGCCATGCTAAAATGCCCATAGTGTCCAGGGATGAGCAGGCTAAGTGCATTAGCCATGGTAAATGCAGGGTTACAAGGATAGAGTAATGGTGGTGGGTCTGGATGGGATGCTCTTCAGAGGGTTGGCATGGACTCGGTGGGCTGAATGGCCTGCTTCCACACTGTAGGGATTCTATAGTATGTACTTAAACAATAAGCAACACAATTTCAAGAGTTTAATGTCATATTTTATACTCAAGTTTATACTAACCAAAAGGATGAATTACCTCACATGTTACACCTTCCATAGTTTATATTTAGCTAACATAATGGCAATCTTTCCATTATCAACTAAAGTAGTATCCAGCAAGGGGACCTCTACCTTGATCCTAAAATGAAAAGAAAAAATAAAATGTTTCTGTTATTATAGGTGTATATTAATATGTATTGTCAGTAAAATTATAGTGAAGTATAATAGTAAATCTAAGACATTTCACTCGAATTTTGTAAAACAGTTTTGAATGCAATTCTAGAATTAATGCTTTCAAACCTTAAGAGCATTTAAATCAAACAATGCTTAAGTGGTGTGATGACTGCATTTTTGTGTGTATCTGTATAGAGCGATTTATAACAATTTGTATTATTGTAATGTCTTCAATATAATAAAATGTCCAAAGGAACTTCACAGAACGATATAAAGCCAAATGTGATACTGTCACAAAAGGCAACGTCAGGGCAGATAGCCAAAAATGTTGTCAAAGAGTCAGGGTTTACGGATTGTTTTAAAGACAGAAAGAAATGTGGAGGGTTTTTCAGAGAGAATGCCTATACTTAGAGCACTGACAGGTAAAGTCACATCTGTGACAGCAATTAAAATGGGGAATTCCCAAGAGGTCAGAATTGAAGAAGCATAAGTATCTTGGAAGGTTATCAGTCTGGAAGAAATAACAGTGCAGGGTAAGTGAGGACATGGAGGAATTTAGAATCAAGGATAAAAATTTTAATCTCAAGGCACTGCTTAACCTGGAACCAATGTAGGTCAGTCAGCAAGGGGAAAATGGGTAAACAGAACTTGGTAAGAGTAAGGATATGGGGAGCAGAGTTTTAGATCACCTCAATTTACAAAACGTAGAACGTGGGAGACCGACCAGGAGCATTTTGGAACACTGAGCCGAGTCTATTAATGTGAGTTGCAAGATTGAAGGAGCGATTAAGGGACGATGAGAATGCAGCAAATTCAGAGGAAAGAGAGCATAATGAGTTAAGCTGGAGATTGAAATCACTTGCAATGAGAGGATCTTGGTGCAAAGACTGAGGGAGAAAAGCGGTGAAGATATATCAGTTTGAAAGGGTCTGCAGTATCTTGGTGAGCAGTGGAGGATGAGGATTTTAAATGAGAAGGGAGAGAGGTGAAACCAAGTGAGATACTGAAAGGAGGAGGAAGTGCCGTGCCAAAGTAATTTGTGATTGTCAGTTTAAGAAACAAAGCCAATAGCATTTCCAAAAATTTGTTGCAACTGTGGAGGCTGGTTGTTAAAACTCTGGCAAACACCACAGAATTTGTATTGTTACCTTTTTTTAAAAAGAAAAGTGATTTATTTAATCATTAAATTCATAGGTGAACTGATAGCATCTAAAAAATAAAGGAGACAGTTTCCAAATTCGACTCTTCCTGACAAAAGTCTACACACAAAGTGTTAAAATATTTTAGATAAAATACCAGATGGAAAATACACCTTTGGAATTATATCCAAGGACAGAGCTGATGAGAAGAGATGGCAGGGAAAAAAATGTGAAAAATGTGGGAAAAAAAACCCCTGAAACTAATGTGATGAAGTGTTAGGTGTTTCAAGATTATTCTAATAAGTAGAAAGAACAATCATGGCAATGGAAAGAAAGGAACCCAGCATGACGTTAACAGAGACTGCCACAGTCTACAAGACAGTAATAACGTAAGTTGCCCACTGTTCATAACCATGGCGACATCAACATAGTTGTCAAATTCTAAGATTTTTTTATCTATTAGGTGAGAGACAATTTGGGTCATATTTTTATTTTGATGCTATCAAATTAAATTCAGTACAGAAGGGGACTAATTCCTATCCGGGAATGCCAAATAGACCCATGAGCTGAGCCCAGGCAAAGTAGGCAACAGAATTGTGCTCAAGTTTGCTGGAAGAAAGACATTTTGTCAAGGCCTTTAATCTTGCACTCAGACAATTTACAATAATACCAATTCAAGGAGAAAACCAACATTTATATGGCATGAGTGGAGAGTGCTGATTGATTAATAGAGGCACTGCAATGGACAATGCACCAATTAATGATGATTGATTGTTAACTGCCAGGCTTTGTTACATTTTAAATCAGGCAAGTTGACTATTATAACCAGTGGCCCCATTTCACTGCCTTTGAAAGACAGGAATTCAGAGAATCAACTATATGCAATTTATATTGTTTTAACCCCTATTTGCATTATCATAGATAGTGGAAGCCAAAAGTATTGCTCAGATTTTAGGGGATAATGGGAGTCTGCAAACAGTAGTGGCCAGCAACTGAATAATAAAGGATATCTCCTGCAAACCAGAGATTTGTAACCATCGCACAAATCATTACTTCTACTTTACACACTTACACAAAATGCAATGTGCTCAACCGGTTTATTCTGTTCATTTAGATATACAATATAAGCTTCACATTTATAATCCATTTGTTGTGTCACAAGATTCAATTGATTCAGGCTGCTTCATGTCAAAAAAAAATGTTCATTTATACAGCTTTTGCTCCTTTACCAATCCTAATGTGTTCTGAAAAACTGTGCGCTAAACAAAAAATGCAAAAACTTTTCCCATTAGAAATCATGTAACATTCCTGGGCTGCAATTTTAGCATTATTGGCTGTCTTGAACCTAACAGGCCCAAAAATCCTTTTACTAACTCACAATTTACTTTGCACTCAATGCTCCCCATTCCAGAACCCCACTGCTGCCATCTCCTGACCACCCACTCTACTCCTGACTCCGCTTGCCTTGCCCTTCCCAGCTCCCACCACCTCCTCAAATCCTATCCCAACAACACCCTCCCACTTCTCTCTTCCAATCCTTTCCCCCTTGCTTCCTCCATCCCACTATCCCCACAATACCCTGAGCACCTAACCATTCCTCTATCACAGCCCTCTCCGAACCCTTCACTTCATAGCTTCCCTTTCCTGTTGCCTTTCCACACTCCGCTCCCAATCCTATTGCTTCCTCCCACTTGTTGCCCCACTCCTGGGAAGATGAGAGGGAATCGGGAAAGGCGATGTGAAGTTCGGTCAAATTTCAGAGAGGGAGGTGGTGAACAGGGCAAGTAGCAGAAAAAATTGAAGGAAATTGGTGAGTGTGGGACTGGGAGGAGAAATCAGGAGAGCTGGCGTGCAGGAGAGAGTCAGAGAATCAGGAGAGAGAGTGTTGCAGTAAAGAAGTGAAAGAGAACAAGAGAGAGCAATGGAAATCAGGAAAGTCAGTGAGCGAGAATGGATGAGGAGAATTAGAAGAATGGCAAACAGGAGAGGCGGCAAGTGAGAAAGCTAAGAGGGGAGTCAGGGGATCAGGCGAGCAGAAGATAGTATGTGAATCAGGAGAACCTACAATGTAGTTCTTGGTGTCCATTCAGCAACAATGCTAAAAATTAAAACTGGGCCAGCACTATTCAAATTTACAAACCGTGCTAAAAATGTACTATTAGAATATGCTTTAAATGGAGGATACATGCATCCTGACAATGGCTATCTTGTTTAGGAATGTGAGCTAATCTACAGGTGAAGAAATGTATTTTGTTCCCCCATCACCACACTTTCTCCCATTTCCCTCTCATGCTAGAACAGTACATTTTGTAGTGAGAATCCTCCGGTAATTACCAGAAACGATGACTAGTCATGATTCAACTTGGTTTGAGATCACTCATTATTTCACTATTTGTTTATATTAAGCTGAAGAGGGTTCAGAAGAGATTTACCAGGATGTTGCCAGGTATGGAAGGTTTGAGTTATAAAGAAAGGCTAGAAGGCTGGGACTTTTTCCACTGGTGTGTAGAAAGTCGAAAGGAAATCTTACAGAAGTTTATAAAATAATGAGGGGTATAGATAGAGTTAATGGTAATTGTCTTTTCCCTAGGATGGGGGTTTTGAAGACTAGGGGGGCACATTTTTAAATGAGAGGAGACAGATTTTAAAAAGACATCGGGGCAAATTTTTTTTACACAGATGGTGGTTCTTTTGTGGAATGAACTTCCAGAAGAAGTGGTGGATGCGGGTACAATTACAACATTCAAAAGACATTTGGATAAGTACATGAATAGGAGACGTTTGGAGGAATATGCGCCAGGAGCAGGCAGGTGGGACTAGTTTAGTTTGGGATTATGGTTGGCATGAACTGGTTGGACCGAAGGATCTGTTTCCGTGCTATAAGACTCTATGACTTTAAGAGCTGGCTCAGAATGTGCCCAATACTTACCAAGATGTAATTTCCAATAGGGAACATTCACTAACTTCAACCCCACCCTCCACAATCTCTTCCACGGATCAGGGGTACTGAAGTTAATTATGGAGCTGCCTGGAAAGACCAAAGATTAACATTCGAGTTTTTCAAGTCTACATTGCTCAGATCTGTTCCAAGCAAATATCTTCCTGAAGGAGAGACACTAGCTTTTAACCGCAACATCTTGAGAACCAGAAAGCTAATCGGTGATAAAGAAATTCTAATAACTGGTGCCTGGCTGGAACTTCATATAATTCAACTCAAACTGAATAAATGATTAAAGACTTCATGCACTGAATATCAGAGCTATCAATAACGTATTTTCTGATATCAGGGTAGGACACTAAGAAATTCAAATATCTTGATCTGTGAGCAAATATTTCAGCGTTTTTAATAAAGCCATTCCTGACTTAATATTTTCAGAGCAAATGGATTATTTTGCTGAAAGGCATCATCCAAAATTAGCTGATTGATAGTCTGTGTTCTTCTACAACACTGTACTTTACCTTCAAGAATATCAAAGTTTTGAGATGTAAAGATCAGACAATTTAATTTACAAAAGCTAATTTGCAGCTGAATTAAAAAATGAAACATCTATAAATTAAAGTCAGTTTGTATAATGAACACCTGATAAAACCAATCTGAATCTTCCAGTGTCAACCTCAACTGGGACTAAATCACACCATATATGAAATTGTATTCACATAAATAGGCCAAAAATCACCAGCTCTGCTCTTGCTGATAACAATCCACTGTCTTAACCGTACCAAGCAACATCGAACTTCAAAAAGTATTTACAATGCATCCTGAAGCAGTTGTAAATAAATTTACAGTAATTTACATTATTTTCAGAATCAATGATTAAAATAAAAC